ATATATATAACTAGAACATGCTACTGGATGACTCAAATTTCCCCCTGGGATTACTAAAGTATCTATCTACTGTATCTATCCATCTATTCTATCTACTTGTACTTTACATATCTACCCTACCTACCCATCTACTCTATCAATGCCATCTACCTACTCTGTCCACCTATCTATCTACTCTATCTCTATTCCTACTCTACCTATTTATCTACTCTACCTATCCAGCTACCCAACCTACCTATCTACTTTAACTACCAACCAATCTAGTCTACCTACCTATCTACTATGGAACTTTTTTTTTAATCTCATTTTTATCTTGTGCTGCTTTTATGTCAGATATCAAAGACAAATCTCCATTTCATTGAATGTTATGGACAATAAAGTTGAGCTGATTGAATGATTGATTGATTGATTGATTGAACTATCTACCTACCTACATTCTCTATCTATGCTATCTATCCACTCCATCTACTCTATCTATCTACTCGACCTACCTATATGCTGTATCTACCCATCTATCTATTAAGCATAGTAAAAGTTCCCTCATACTAATACAGTATAATGTTACCAAAATGAAAGAGGTTGGTTTCAGGACAGTGGTTTCACTTCCTCTGGCTCAAGTTTTGAAAAATGACCCTTTTTCAACTTTGTAACTTTTTCTTTCAATAAAACTGACACTTTAATCTTAAAACTCTAAAAAGTCGTCAATTATTTTTCTTCTTCTTCGTGGCCCTAATCCACCGTGTTTAAGACGTATGTAAAGAGGGACATTATCCTCCCATCGGGCATCCATTTGCAACTGATTCAATTTGTTTAATTTGATTTATCAAATTTCAGACCAAATGCAGAAGAAAACCCTTTTCAGTAAGATTTCAGCGATGAGCGAGTGAGTCAAAGCACGTTTCCCCCGCGGCTCGCTCCTCCACTGCCAACAAAAAGCCAAATTTACGCTTACAACATCTGGAGGGCTGTGCTGCACACATTCTCACATTTACTTGCAGACAAGAGGAGATAAAACTGTTGTTTATCTGACCCAGTACACACCGGAGTGGCAGACTGCTGACACTTTATGCCCCGGCAGCGTCCACTAACCCCCTGTGCACATCCTTTATTCTTTCTTTTTGCTTTGTTGTTTTTTCCCCTCCTTTTTTCTAAAAGAAATAGATCATAGAAATGACTGAATAAGGCTCTGCATCCTCCCTTCATGAATCTGAAGAAAGGCTCGAGGCTGGCAGCGCATCACGACATGTACAGCATGTCATAACGGATTATATTTCTGCATCATCATTTCACATATTCTCCCCCACGCCTGATGCTTCACAATGCGCCGCTGCAGAGCTTCCACAGGAGCAGAGAAGCAACAAGAAACCGTTGTCTAATTGTGGCAGAGATAACAAATCTGTTGATCTTTCAGGTTCCTGGATTAATTATGATTCAAGCTGCTGAAATATTGTTGAGCTGACAAACAAATTAATGTGAACAAATAGATGAACATTTTGAACAAAGAGAACCACGGACAACGAATAGAGAGATGAATCAAACAGAGCGGTCATGAAGTATTCATGCCACCATTATGGAGAGACGTTTTTCCTCGCAGTCAATATTCAGTTGTTCTTAAACATTGAGCTTAAAGAAAAAACAAAAGTTGGGCAGACAAACGCTCGAGGCCAGGAACATGAGCTCGACAGTGGTGCGTTAAAGAGTCACTACAAAAACCTATGTCGAAGCTTGGGCTCTGCTCAGCTTTTGAAAAATGGGATAAGTTAAAGGTAGGGGAAATAAGAAAAATGCAATTCAGGAAGGAAATGCAGAGCATGTATAATCACATGAACCACTGAACAGATTTTAAAGAAACTCTCATAAAGTAATCATTAGATGAACATCTACAAAGGATTGATGTGAGGAACCCAATTTAAAATGGTTCTTACAGATAATCTAACTGTGCCAACAGGAAAAAAAATGGTTATAACTTACTCAAAATTACAGCTTAGGAGGTAAAATTTATGTGGAAGTAGTCGACAGTCATCTTCCATTCATATTCCAAGTATCGACACATCTGGCAAGATGTCAAATATCTGCCATGAAAGACGGAGGGCAATATGCTTTTCTTTGGAGGTTGAGGGGAATTAAGTGTAGAACCACTACTGAGGAACAGCTTCTACCCTGAGGACGTTACGTTCATGAACCTCTAACCAGGAAAATCACTGTAATGCCACTTTATCTGTGCTGCTGATTATCCATGCTGCTGATTTCTTGCCTTTAAGCTGCTGCATTCTTACCCATCTGCTCACAACAGACCCATGTTCAGGCTGCTGTTTAATATATTGTATTATATGACATTATTATTGTTTAGCGTATCAGATCCATATATACCGTTTCTTTTTTATATACTCTATATTTTTGATATATTTGGGTGTAACGTTGAATACGCAATTTCGTTCCACCTCATGTACCACATTTGATGTGAATGACAATAAAGAACCTTGAACCTTTGTTGTCCCCATCCCGGACAGAAAGAGGGACTTGGACAT